AAAATCTTCCAATGGCAAGGAATTGTCTTCAATCCCCAGATGATTCATATGCTTTCAACTTTATTATTCTCTGTTAGTGATCTTTTTCTATTATCGCTCTTATTATCGCTATTATTCTAGAGTTGAGAAATAGCTCTCTATTTATCTGTGAACATTTTCATGTTTGGTGGATTTAATGTTTAACATGCTAAGTAGCTTAATTATTTTAATGTCACTACTGTTATTGGCATTAAAATTTTCAATTTTTCAATTCTGATCAACAAGCTTCTTTACTTGATTTGTTCCTATTTATAAGAATTTTTTCTGCTACCAATGCACTGATTGGAATTCATTTTGGGACTTTCTTCAAGACATCCCTTGAATTGATAATTTTAACCTTCCTATTGAGAATCATACCACAGAGGTATCTTTTTGGATTAAATCCAGCATCAATGCTTTAGAACCTTCTCAGAAATAACAGGTGAAATCCACAATCTTCCCCTTGGTTCACACTTGTCTGTTCAGCTGCTATAGCTCAGAGGAATCACTTTTTTAAAGCTGTACCAGTGTGATAGTTCTGATCACAACAGGCACCTCTTTGTACCTACTTGCAATAATTGTAAAAGTCTCCTTGTGGAGGCAAAGTCTTTGATTGCTGAAAGAATAAGGCAATGTATAATTTGAGACTACTGATGGCTATGTAATAATGTGTTAAATAACAATAAGTCTTCTGTCCCTCCTCTAGGTATTAACATCTTCTGCAGATAACACAAGATTTTACTCGTAAATTCTCTTCCAATTCTACTCTTGATTCATCTGTAGTATCTTTGCCTGACGTTCCACTTAGAACCGAGTCTCTTTTGTGTGATATGTACATAACTTCATCCATGGTTTCTACTATCATCTCTAAACTTGATCCCTATAAAACATGTACACTTGCTGGTATCCCTGCAATAGTCCTTAAAAAAGTGTCCCTGAACTGGCTCCTGTTCTTTCTCCCTACAATAAATGCCTTGGTGCTTCTTGCTTTCCTGCTTGTTGGTGATCCTCTTCTGTAGTTACAGTTTTTAAGAACTCTGGCAAACCATCAGATCCTTCTATTGGCCTATTATTAGCCTTCTACCTCTTTTTGGGAAAGTATTAGAAGTTCTAATCAACTCTGAATTTATTAAACATCTCACCTTGCAGTGTCTTCTTTCAGATAAACAATATGGTTTTCACTTTTCTAGGTAAACTGTTGATGTGTTAATGATTATTGCTGAAACTGTCTATCAAGCTTAAGATAAGAATGGTAAAGATTGGGCTATTTCTTTGGATATCTTGAAGGCATTTGACTCAGTTTGGCATGCTGGTTTTCTTCACAAATTGAAAGTCTATGGTATTTTTGGATAAACTTTTGATCTTATTCATTCTTATCAAATCATGAAATGAAATTTGTCTTGAATGGCCAGTTATCTATATTTCTTTTTGTTTTGTAAAAATGCAGGTGTTCCTCATGGCTCTATCCTTAAACCTCCATTATTCCTGATGTCATTAGTTCTCAACTTGGTATCTATGCTGATAACTATTTACTCTTGTCTTAATGGCAAGTCTGATTAGTCAAATAGGCAGCTGTGCACAAAAATATTCTACAATCTGTTGTTAACTGGGGCAAGAAATTTTGTTAATTTTAACACTGCCAAAACAAAACTGCTCTCTTTTAATCATGTTATAGAAACTATTTTATCTACCATCAGCATGGCTGATGCTAACCTCCAAAAGAGTGACTCCTTAGATTAATGTTTTCTGCTGATATGAAATAGAGAGATTATATTGAATCAATTACTAGGTCTGTTTTAGCTGATCAAGCAGAAATGACCATCGAGTGTTTAAGTGTATGAAAATAGAACATCTGAAATGCTAATAAACCACTGAAAAGAATTTAAATCTAGATTATATCAAAGCTCCATTTGGATTATTTTTTAATAAATGGCTTTACTCAGAATTATAACATTATCAAAAGCATTACGAATGAAAACTACATATTTAATGTCACGAATTTATGTTATGTCCATTTTGCTCATTACACTTATTGTTTGCTGCTTTTTTTTGACAAAATGAAAAAAAAATTCATGTCATAATTGATAGAGAAGAGAGTCAGTTGAAAAAAGGTTTGTAGCATTTTTTTAAAGTGAATTCCAAAGCTATTTAGATTTTTGTGCACAGTTTTCTTCAACCACATTTGTACCTCTTTGTTTCAATACTTTTTGTCATCTTTAGGGGAGCTTAAGAATTCCATGCTCTCAGAACTTGGCATCTTTTGGGTGATGAACAGATCTAAGTGATTTTTATAGGTTTCCAGAGAATTGAAGTTTAAAAGAATTTTATAGGGATCGAAATAAGTGGTAATACAAAAGATGCAAAGTTAGGTGAGTACTGTGGTTATAGTAGGGACATTCCAGCCAAGCTGTACCAATTTCTGCCAGGTCTGCAGAGATGCGATGCTTGGCAATGTCCTGATGAAACAACATCTTTCCAATTAGCCAATTCTGAATGCTTTTCATCAATTATTGCCTTTTAATTGGTCCAATTGGAAATTATTACTTATTTGAATTCAATGCCTGATTTTGCAGGAGTTTGTAATGGCCTTCTAATCCTACCAGATACACAACACTGTCTTTTGGGGTGGTTAACAGTAGCCCACTTCATTTTCCCCAGGACCCTATTTTTACATTGTTGTAAATAAACTATTTTTTAAATAGATCATTTTTGGTGCATTTGTACAGAGAAATGTAGAGGTAAATGTGGCCCAGTAAAAAATTTTTTGTTACATTGTGAGGTGTCCAAACATTGCAGTGATTCACCATATCCAAGTGTTTTCAAATGCCTTACAAATTTTCATATCAGAGAATTGGTCTGTCTCTGCGATGTCCCATATTGTATAACCTGGATTATTTTCAATCAGCATTTTGACTTGGTCTATATCAACAACTGCAGGGCTTTCTTGGTCTTCTAGATAAAAATTTCCATTTCTGAACCTACTTTACCATGTACAAAAAGTACTCACAGTCATGGCGCCATCTCCATAAATGACAAGTCTTTTTGTTCATTGTATAGCATTTTTAACTTTCTGGAAATAAAAAAAACTATCAAATGAGAAAAATGGATATCATTTTCCTCCATCTTCACTTTTAAGGTAAAAACATTTAAAAATTACATTGCACATATCAGTGGTATAGAAAAAAGTGTTGAAGTGTGTCAGATTTCAATCATGTGTTCAAACACCACTTATTAGAATATGCTACAAAATCTTGTTCCAAACCAACACTTGGTAAACCACTCAAATAATAACCAACACAAGAGGTAGCAACAAAAAGCTCCATTCTTACCCATGACGGTTATAAAAAAAAAGAAAAAAGTTTAACCTATATCTAGTATTAATTATAAAAATAGAGTATTAATTATAGGTCCATAAAAAAAAATCTTTAATTATAGATTTATATCTACAACACATTAAATGTCACGAAAAGGGAATGTTGAATATTAATGGGTTAATACAAGTATTGTGCTTTTTGCACTTAATTTAAATTCTTTGCTCAAATCTTAAGGCCACAAAAATATAAATAAAAAATGGTGGTGCTTTATACATCTGAAAAAAGCAAGTTGATGAACATTGATAATAATAAGAATTCAGTAAGAAAATTATTTTTAATATCCAACACCTGATTATCAATTTATTATCTGAAAAACAATACTGAAATGTAGAAAACAAAATCTGAAATTATAATTTGGTTGGCAGTATATTTTAATTTAGGTTTGATACCAGCTAAATTTTTATAGGAGTGCTAGAAATTTCTGAAAAAAGAATTAAAAAAAAATATCCATATTTTGTGAAGTAGTTCAGTTTGAAAATTTTTATTTTTGTAGTTGATATCCTGCCTTGTGGCTGATGAAATTGAGCATTTCTCCTGTTCATACATAGGCAAAAGTCAGTTTTTTTTTTAAATCCAAACTTTTAAAATCAAGCACTTTCCACTTATTGTTTATTGGTTAAAGTATCTTGGCACTGAATTTACTTTCATTTGTTACCGAACAGATTTCCATTCCCAAGTTGATATTAATATTTTATTAATTAACAAAGTTCTCTTTTTAAAATTTTTTCACTAGTTTAAGAATGTTGTTTTTGGCCAATAAATTTCCTTGCTGTATTGTGTGTGTGCGCTAGTGAAGGGCCAAAAATTTTGAAAACGTGCTTTTTTTCCTCCAGGATAGTTTCAAGAAATTCAGAAAAAGCTAATGTTGGAAAAAAAAATGGTAGTAATTTGCAGATACTAGTCAGACATTCATATGCATCAAGTTATTTGATAAAAAGAAAAGGGTTTTTTTTCTTTTGCAAAATGCATATATTCATATGCCATTTAAGAAAAAAAGAAAAATATTCACATATATATTCACATGTATATAGTTATACATAAATAATCACATAACTTCAGGATAAGCTAGGAAACAAAATAATTTTAATCATTGTATGTTTGGCAATCATAAAATGCAAATAAATATGCAAATATTGTGAATTTCCTAGCTTTCTTTTGCTAGTTAAACTTTACCATATATATAAACGTATAGTAAAGGAAAAGGAAAAAAAAAGAAAAAAAAAAGTTTTAACAGATCCAAAGCAGGGTGAAAGAAGAAAAACAAGTCTTACAAAAAGATATTGACTAGAAAATAAATAAAGTAACTAAAGCAGGGTTAAATACTTGGGACACACCATGTGCAACTAACACTGGACATCTACCACTGGACACGGGTATCCAGCTAGGAGAGGGGCGGGAGTAAGGTTTGTTAGGCAGAAACCATTGAGCTACATGACAACACCCAAGAGGCACACCCCTCTCCTTTCCTCTCCAGTTAGGCACAAAAAAGATCCTTACCTCCTTCGTGCTACACGTTTTAGGCCAGAATTTTAATAAAAGTTTCACAACCTGAAAGAAAAAATTAATTTCCCTTTTAAGCATGTAAAATTGTTTTTTTAAATGTCTTACCTCTTTTTGACTACATTGCTTAGGCCAGAATTTTAAAAGTCCTTTCACAGCCTGAAAGAAGAATAGTAAATTGAATGGTGTGTAAAACCCTGAATCACATGCTTTCTAAATACAAATGTTTTTTTTTTACTCAAAAAATTATTAGTTCTTGGAAGGATGACAAATCAATAATGGGGATAGGCAAACTACGAGAGTGAGATGAGAAACAGGAATAATGTTTTCATGTAAATTATTAATTTATTTTCCCACTGGATGGTAATAATTTTTTTTTTTTTTAGTAAAAATGATAAAAAAACTTAAGCTCAAGTCCCATTAAAAAAAAAAAAAAAAAAATCAAGGAAGCTAATTCATTTATGTAGACTACTTTCAGGACATAGGCGATCATGGCCCTCCACTTCTCCCATCCCTTGTAGCTCTCAATAAGTTTTGTCCCACAGACCATGTTAGGAACCAATATACAAATTCATAAAATAATCATAATTCATAAAACCGAAAGCTGATCATTTATAGCTCAAAAGAAAAAGCATTTTGAAAATTACAACACCTATGAAGTAATACTATAATACTGAAAGTAATTGTTTCAAGAGAAGTTAGCTATTTTACAGTTTGAGAGAGAGAGAGAGAAATAGAGGTAAAGATATTTGAAAGTAAAACTTTAAATTGTTTGAGGAGGAAAAAATTGTAGAGAATTCAAAATTTAATTTATTGATCCTGATTAAAAGTAAATTTCTTGGAGGGAAGAAGAAAAATGTGAACTGAAAAGGATGACACCGTTTCAAACAATGAGTAAACCTTTTTAATGAATTTTCTTTTGTGGGTAGTATTAATTTAGATTTGAATAGGCAAGAGTTAAACTTTGCAGCAAGGATGCCCCCAAAATACTTATACCACCTTATATTGAATTAAGTAAAACAAAATTTCTTAAACTAACCCAAACATTTAGGTTCGTATCAAGTTCTCAAATAAGAGGACATTAAAGCAAAAAAAAAAAAAAAAAAAAAAAAAAAAAAAAACAAACAAAAAAACGCAGACATCTAAAAAGTGAATAAGAACAAGTTTTTACATTATTGAGAATAGGAAAAGATCCACAGAAATATTTGCATTATTAACCTGCAGGATATTTCACATAATATGTATAAATTATAGTAGATTACATGTCACTCTTACAAAGTGACATCAGTTAAACATTAACAGCCAAGTTACTGAAACTGAAGAAATATGTTGAAATGAAAAAAATTATAATTACAAAAAATTGTAAATTATAATTACAGAAAAGTTTATAAAGACAAATGTCTGAAGAAAAAACTGAAAATGGTATCATTGTAATTACAAGAAAGTTATAACATTATATTCTGAAATGACTAATAGAAATTGTTCATTCATTAATTTTGTGAGGCATTGTATTTTTATGTGAAGCAGACTGTACTGCATCCCGAATATTATTCTTAAGTTTATCTTTTTTGGTAAACTGCTGCTCACCAACATAAGTTGTCTTCAGAATGCTTCACAAAAATTCAAGAGTTGGAGGCAAACAACCTATCCACTTCATCAAATGAGCATCTGAAACTCATTTTTATTCAGATCTTCAATAGTTTTCTTCCAATGTTATAAGCATTTTCATATATATATATATATATATATATATATATATATATATAAAATTTTCTGAAATCATTTGACTTCTTGAACCAGAGTTGCATGTGTATCTTCAAAACAAAAAGAAATCAATGTATGAGTTGTCATCTTAATGTCATTTGATCCACCATGTCACCTCTTATAATTCTAACATCACACCACCTCTATCTTGTTGGCATTTCAACCTGTGAGGGTGGTTTTTGCCAGGAGCTGCTCAGCCTTTGCTCTATAGATCTGATCCACTGAGGGTAGCATGTTATCAATTAAAAGAATGGTTGAAAAATCAGTTTTCATTTATTTGTTACCTATTTTTTTCCATTCATGTTTCTTTTATAGGAGGCCAAGAGATGAGTCTAAAACATTTCACCACTTGATTCAGAAACATATCTTGTGCTTTTCAATATATCTTTAGTCACAACACCCAAAAACTTCATAGCTCATTAAAAGAGGGATTCTTTATAACTTTGCTCTTGATACCAGAAAATAAAGTCCCCAACTTGATCTTAAACATGCATCAGTATTGTCCATCAAAGAACTTTCTCAGTCTGATAGTACCTGCCAGTCATTTTTGTGATTTCTAGTATTGTTTTACTTTTTGTAAGTTTCTCTTTATCTTTCAAATAAACCTTACAACCAATTTTCAAGTAGCTATTAACTTGAGATTCAAAATTCAGGCATGTCCATACACGCAGTTTGTCTGCATCTGTAAAGAATTTGTTTGTTTGATGCTGTGCAGATGTCTTCACTCAGCAAATAAGCCTTTAGATTCTAAAAGTACTCATTTTATATATTAGAGGAAGAAAAAGTGTTTAGCTGTGAGAAACAGCATAGATTAAAATCTACATCATTAACATTTCACATTTGATAAACTATACAAGGTAAAAATTGAAAAGAAAAAGATGGATGACTACCAGAAGAACAAACTTATCAGATTAACCATACTCTTTATCAAAAGAAGGTCTACAAGAAATCACCAAAAAGGTTTAAAGAGAGAAAGCAAAATCTTGATCAGATCCTGCTTGTCATCATCAAGTGTTCAGGTTTTATTCAACTAAATATCATAAGGCAAATATTTATGACATATCAGCATTGCTAATCAATGCTGACTGTAGAAGTATCATTGATTTTGAAATATATATTGAATAAAACTAGTTCATTCACTGCAAAAAGATGGAGAACTTTTAATATAGAACATTGATTATTCTATCAAGTGACAGCTTCCAGCAGCAAAACTTTATACAATTGCCTGAAAGTGACTTGAAAAGAGTCAAAATAAAGCCACATTAAACATCCAAACATGAATATTCCTTTGAAATATAATCATTTTTTCTCATACATCAAACAATAACTGTCCATTTTGTTTTAAGTAATAAAAATATACTAGACAATTCAAAGCAGTTTTTTTTAATGCATCTTCATGTGGTACTTAAAATTTAAAAGACCTGCTTCAAAACAAAGTGAAACTTATGAAAGATTTTTGCAAGTTCTGTAATTATTTTAATACAAAATTGAAAACCTATTTTTATAAAGGTTATGATTAGCTTAATAGGTCCAACATAAGTTCAATATATATATAATAATTTAATATCAATTTCTGAATTTTGCTTAAATTAAGAAAATTAGTTTATCATATTATTTGAGAAGAGAAATTTAAAGGAAAGAAAAAATCTACTATTGTAAGACTGTAAATTTTTTAAACTACTAGTTCTGTTTTGATATTGGTAGGTTCTTTATATTTCCAATTCATGCAGAAGTATTCTGACTAAAAAACAGGAAGAAAAAAAAAGCAGCTCTGTAGAATACAAGAAAAGAATCCTTCAAGACTGATTTTGTTGATTTACTAGAATATGCTAAGTAATCAAATTGTACAATACTTTGCCAAAAGTATAACTATTGAGATATGAACTTTTGAAGGAATGTACTACTTTGATAAACATATCTACATTCCTATGTATGCAAATATGAGTACAAAGTTATGGCTACTTTGAAATCTAGGAAAAAATAATTTTGACTTCATTTCTATTGAAATAAAATCAAGCATACTGAAAAGAACCCAGCCCCCAATTTCTTTTAATTTTTTAGCTAACCAAAAGAGTTAAGCATAAAACTAAGTTCAGTTTAATAAAATAAGTAAATTTTTAATTGAAAAGGTTTTTAGCTAATTCTTAATGAAAATTTTAATTCTTAATTTAAATTCATAAAACCAGATATGAATGTTAAATGAAAGAAACAATGAAAATTTCAATGTAATTTATATGCTTCAACACCATCAATATCTATCAAATAGATTCAAGCAAGATATTTCTGTTCAAAACTAGTCTGAAATAACAGTAGCAATTTAATAATACTTAGATGCACAAAACATACCAAAAAAGTCAACATTTAAATATGATCAATGAAAACCAAGGTATATGTTATCAAATTTTTCCAATTTAGTATGAAAGACACCTAGTTATTTTTACTAGCATTTTTAGCTCGCAGAAACTTGAATTATTTTTATCATTTGGCATGAATTCATATATTGATTTGCAACCTGGATTGGAGCAGCTGGCGACAAGCAGAACCAATTGGAGCTGTGTCAAGGATTAAGTCAGAATCCAAATACAACCAGAGAATAGATTAAAAATTAATACACGCAAAACTAATTTGGAGCAATCAGGAATTAATGGCAGAATGGTAAAATTGGCACCGAAAGGCCCTAATACTGACTGTGTGGCAGGATATAATTAGGGGCTTCATGATAGGAAGAGAAATATTTCCAATTGTATATACTTGAATTCAACTGTTTTTAGTTTTGCAATGGCATATGCATGCAACACCTTTTGTCAATTTTTAAACAGATTTGTATAAGTTTATGTCCTTTTAGATCCAAGTGACATAGAAGAAATAATTAGATGCATTGATAGATCAAACAAATGACAATATAACATCAATCTAATATTTCAAATATTACAAAATATAAATTAAGCAGAATAAATCATTTGCACAATTTAGATTCTTTTTATTAAACCATTAAAGATTATTACAAAGTCTGGGTAGGATCTGATTAATCTGCAACAAGTTCTTAAATGCAGTATTTTAATAAATATATTCAAATCTGGAAAAAAAATCCAAAAAACTTTATAATTCCAAAGGTTGATTTTTCAATAAAGAGTAAATTTTTCCTATAAAATATAGTTTACATTTCTTTAATTTTTTTTAACCATGTTTAAAATGTTTGACTACTTTAAATAAGTTTTTTTGCCACAATGCTCTTTAGCCAAATAGTCCAATCATTTGCGAGGCACTTAAGTATATTATGTTAAAGAGATTCTTCTGAAAACTAACATCAGATGCTCTAAATTTAAATGACTTTTAAATTTAAATAAGCAAATCAAAGCAGCTATACAACAAAACCATCATGAAAAGACTTATTAATGAACTACTTAATTTTTATGTTATTTTATAAAAGGGGGGAGATGCTGTATAGATTTTTTTTTTTACAATGTGAAAGAATTACTTTGGTGTGCTTTTCCAATTATTATTCTCAATGATCTTTGGTCTATTTTAATTCATAAAACATGCTACAGTTTATTCCAAAAATTTAAGCAAGTCACATTTATTTCAAATATTTTAGTAACTGCTTTATAGTTTGGTGAAAAGTTTGGCAATACTGATATATGCAGTCATGTCCAATAATAAACATACAGCTTAAGTTGACAGTACAACTAATGAATACCTATGTAAATTATGGTTTAAAAAAAACTGGCATCTAGTGTGACTGCTATGCTCTCTGGATTTAAAACCCTTTAGAGAACTAGTTTTGTCAAGGAGTTTTTATGAAGGTAGCAAGCAAATGTAACTAAAAATTAACACTGTTTGCAGAGCTATTAACCCTGAAAAAACTCTCAAATTAATTTATTGAGAGTAGGCTACTTCAAATTCTGAGAGAGAATGGAAATTATATTAGTAAATATATTATTAAAGTAAATATTACTTTCCTGCTTTGTTGTTTCATGCAGCTTGCCATGAATATTTTTTCCAGTCATTTCTTTGGATAAATAATTAAATAAATTTTTGTTGGGTTAGTCATTGGCTTTCATTTTTCACCCTTATATATATATATATATATATTTTTACTCTTTTGAGATGACTGCATAAAAAGTGGCACAGTCTTAAAAAAATAATTTTTTTTATATATATTCAAACAAATGTAATTCTATTTTATGCTGCAACCTGTGATTTGAAAATATTTCATATACACAAAAAGTCTTCTATTTGACTTTTTCAACCATCAATTTTATTATAGTTGTATTTTTTTTTATTTGCATAAAAATGTTGAAATGCACTGTAAATGTAGATGACCATATGCAAAGGAGTAATCTGCCCTTGAAGGAAACAACAGTTTCACATTGCTGCATTTCCTTTATAGCTCTACTTTTGAATGAACAAAAGAAGGCTGAATCAGTAAGAAATAAATGAAAGACAAAGGCAACAGCAAGACTCCAACTCTATGGCTTTTGTGCTTCAATTTTTAGTACAAGGGCAGTTATGAATTATGAGAAATGATTTTGTGAATAATAAAAATTCCTAGAATGTCTAAGGTGGTATTTCTTTTCTATTCATTAATAACTTAATTGTTGAGTGAATGCCTTTCTATTCAAAGATACTGTGGTACAGGTAACTTGCATAGTTGGTGTAGTAAAGTGTTTTAAAGGAAACACATTCTATAGTGAGGGCCATTATATTGAAGTTTAACAAAGGTTTGCATGTGGGAATTGAGAACTGAGATAGGGAGTATCTTTGCTTGTCAATGAATCTACTTTTCTCTGTTAGAAGCCAATACATGAATCTCAGGTACTGATCCATGGCAACCATTCAACAATTGATAGAATTAAGAAAGGAGAGCAGCTCAATTGTATCAATTACATCCATACGTCTATCCACTCATAACATACAAATGTTGCCTATCACAAACCGAACAGTACCAACAACAATATTAATAGCTATGATAGATAGCCAATAGTGATGCTAGAGTTTATTATATGGAACAATTTCCATCTGGTTTTCAAGGGACATTTTCAGTTGTCACCTTTCACCAATATGAGAATATCTTTTAGAACCAAAGTGCTACACTGCAGCGCAACAGAATAATAATTCTTCAAATTAAAAGAGAATATATTAAGAGACCCCCCCCCGCTATGTTCCCCAATGCACAATGGAAGAGTACAATACAATCATTCAGTAAAGATTAATATTATCATATCTGCTGATATTTTTCTTAAAATAAAAGGTTTCAAACTACTTGTTTTGTGTTGAATAGGATGAATCAATTCAGGATGTTCACAGGAACTAAATTTTGTTAGGCTTTTACATTTAACTTTGATTTATTTTACTGAAGTTTGTAAAATATAAAATCAAATATATGCTTATTAAAAGTAAAAACTCGTGCCTTTTTTGTCTTTATTTTTTTCATTTAAGTCACCACTTAGTCATATCTCAAGATCTCATTGTCTTCAAATAAAAAGAAAATATAAAAGAATATAAAACTTATTACCAAAATGATCAACATATGCTTTTTAAAAGAAATTATACTAATTCTTCACATATTGTTTATTATATAAATTCTAATTTAATCATACTTTTCTTAGCAAGCATAGAATGGGAAAGAAAAATGATTTAATTATAATTCTTCAAATTTTGTCTTGATTCTGTATAAATTGCTGCCAAAAGGTTTGTACATCCAATAATCAACATTTTTTTCATAAAAAACATGAATTTTTAATAGAAAGATACTTCTAAGGATAACATTTATTTCTGAGACAATTTTTTTTAATTAGCATTTAAATCAGGCATCATACAAATGTGAGCTAACTAGTTGAGTTGTAAATCCATAAAACAAAATTAAGGATCTATTGACAGAGTGAAAAAACTTTTTTTTTATCTATTGTCACTTGAAGGGAAAAAAACTGGAGGGGAAAAACAGTACAGGACAAACCTATTGGAAGGTTTTGTTAAAAATAAGTTGTTTGTTGCAAATAACAATTATCTCAAAGTTTAAATTCATTTAAGTATATTTAGTCGAATAAATGTTATAAATTTATGACAAATTTCAGTCATATTGAGGTAAAATTAAATTTCACAGCATTAAAAACTTGTTATAGTTCTCTTAATCAGCTCATACTAAGAGAATATTTAAAATTATCTCAACTTCACTTTTAAAGTAATATTTTAATCTCATTAGGAATAAAGAAATAATAAGGAATAAATTATGTGTTCAAAATGCTCAAAACTGTTCTTTTTATTGGGAATCAGTAGATAAAACTTGATAAAGAATCAAACATTAGTGTCAGTTTCTTTACTTTGAAAGAAAGGATGAATGCTCAGTTAAATATACCAATCTCTGACTACTAGTTACAGGTGTAATATTATTAGTAATTTAAGAGAAATCTATCATGGGTGAGAAGCACAGAAAATGGATGTTATAGAAGCCTCACTTTGAATCAAAGCTGGCATGATCAAAAGCCTCATTGACAGAAATATTTCAATAGCAGTTAGCATATAAAAGATAATGTATATAACTATTGTGTTATGTGAGAGTAGATCAATAAGTGTAGTTTAACATAATTATTAGTTAGGCTTACCCAGTTTGAGGGATCTATCCTGGTGGCATAAGTAATCTGAGTGTCTGTGTGCATGTCAACTTTGAAGCTTAAGAGGTGTTGGGTCAAGAATGCACTTTATTATGTAAGAAAACTAAACTGAAAACTATCCGGGTTTTAAATAATGGTAAACCTATTATTATTTGAATTTTGTTCTGAAAATGTTCAATGTATAATGTCTGTCTATGTGATAAATATTCATCATTGAATTAAGGGCATTGACAAGGAAAGTGATTATGTTGACAAATATTTCTTGCATAAAACAAATACTTTTATCATAATTAGACTGCAGACTTATTGATATACCTTTAGGTCACAAAGCATGGAAACTTTAAAATAACTTTTATGCCATTTATAAGTCTAATGGCAGAAGTCACTTCAAAAGAATCATTCTTTACCACATCTTAAAATATCAGAAAATGAATAGACAGTAATACTGAGGATCATATCTGCTTCAAAAACAAATAGAATATTGGAAATGATTTTGCAATTCAGTCCAAAATAGTAAACAGTTTGGTTTTAAATTTCCAAAACTTTTGTTTTGTTTTTGCTGTTAAAAATAGTTTTTTTAACAATATTTACTGAAGATTTTAAAAATACCTATCCAGAATATTAGGCATAGTGACATGTAATTAAAGTTTAAGATAGAAACTAATAAAAAAACTTGCAGAGAATCAGCAAAGTTGATATTTTATAAGAATTAGTAACTGAATGTTGTTGCAAAATATTCTAAAATTCAAAAGATAAATTTAGAGAATTTTCAATTTTACAAGAACTCTAAGAAAATAAATCAAGCAATTTTCAATGATGCTTTAAAAAACTAAAAATATCTAAAATGAAAATTCAATATAAAATTTTATTAAGAGTAAATTATACTTACTTCCTCAGTTAATGATGCATCCTTTTCTAAAAACTGTACCACACAATATGCAAGCTACAAAGATAAATTTACATATGAAATAGAGAAAGGTAGTACTATATAATGATAAAAAAAATAGTGGGGAGGGAATAATATTCTTACATTTAAACACAAAATAAATATATTTATAAAGGAGTAACATTTTTTAATATCATTTCATGGCTACAGAGCCATTTTCAAAACCAGATTCTAAAGAAAATCAAGATAACTGCTGAGAGGAATATAAAAAACACTAACAATTGTTATATAAAAGGAGCTATATACAGAACTCTATATTAAGTGGTGCATATATAACTCATCCCATCCTCTTAGAGTTCCATCAATAGAAAGATGTGAAAAACCTAAACTGAAATATTTTTAATATAAAGAAAATGGTTATAAAATTTCTCAATTATATCCACATTTCAAAGTCTGTTAAAAAATAACATCAGCATGATAAACTTATGAAAATTCTAGTTATAAGAATCACCATAAATTTATTGATAGTAATTATCACAAATTAAATTTTGGATCATACATCTTCCTCTTCTGTTCCAGTGGTCATTTTGTTAATGAAAAAATGTTTTCATAACAATTTTGGCGTGTGGGTGGGGTAGTAAACAACTTTTGAAGAACAGTGTACAATAAACACAGTATTTTTCCAAAAGTTTATTATGGATCGAAACAAATGAACTTGAGAAAGTAAAATCAAGAGACACAGAAGAATAAGATTGTATATACCAAAATAATTTTGAATTTTGTCCTCTGATTTAATAAATGATATTAAAGTTACAAATGCCATTATTGATATTGAAAACAAGAAAACTGTCTTGAGAATTTAAGTTGTTTAGTTTGTTACTAGTTTCATTGCTGATTTAACCTGCAAGAAAATTAAATTTAAGTTAAAAACTAACTTTTCATGCAATTTTGCAGGAGTATTTTGAACATTATACCCCAAAATTGACATCAAGTGCCAATTCAACACACAAATATATAGTAAAATTCTAATGAAAAGTTGATCAATATATAAATTTGCCACAGTAAGATAATCACATTATGTCCAGTATACCTTTTATATTATATATATATATATATATATATATATATATATATATATATAATATAAAAATAAAACTTATTTGCATATATTTCAAGATGACTCATTTATGTTATCAAGGATCATTTTTAGAACAAATGAATTTTTTGCGTGCGCGTGCACACACACAGGGTGCAATGAGTAAATTTGTGTAATTTTATATTTTTTATTTCATGCATGCACATTGTTTTTGATTTTGTTCACTGCACAGTATGGGCACCACCTATGAGAAAAAGAACACCATGATGCAATTAAATCTGCCAGAAATTTGGAAATGGCATGCTGTACCCCTTTGCAATTGTGCTAGAAGCTTTAATACAAACATTTCAGAGTGTTTGGGCGTCAATCTGAAGACAGTGCAGTGGATGTTTTGTTCCCAAATGATGTACCAAGAGTGATGAAAACAAAATATCCAGTCAACATCATGGTGTTTGGAGTGATCACTAGTGATAGTGACATTATGCCTCCATTCATCTTCCCACGGGAGCTCAGACTCAACACGGAGACCTACATCAATTGCCTTGAGGAGGTAGTGCTGCCCTGGGCCAAGAGGGTGGCTGCTGGAAGATCCTTTGTCTGGCAACAGGACTCTGCACCATGTCACACAAGCAAGAGAACCCAGTCAGGGCTGTCAGACAATTTCTGCAACTAGGTCACTTCTTACATCTGGCCACTTAACTTCCCAGACTGGAACCCCCTTGATTATTGTGTGTAGGGCACAGTTGAGTGAGAGACCAACAAAACTCCTTGTAACACTAAAGGTGAACAGAAGGCAAGAATCATGGCAGCATTCACCAACAAGGAGAACATCCAGAAGAGTTGCAGGAGATTCTGAAGTTGCCTGGAGGGCATGGTTGAAGCCAATGGCAATTTTATTGAATAAATCTACTCATTAGTATTTTAAGATATATTTACCAAAATTACAGAAAAATTTCTGTTAAAATGAAATGTTAGTATTATTTTCATTTTTGCATAATTTAGACAATTTATCCATCACACCATATATATATATATATATATATATATATATATATATATAAAATTTTTGTATTTAGGCATGTTTGAGTAAATAAATTACAGACATTGTGTCAACTAATTTTTAACAAAATCCATTCATACTCACAAACAACCTTCCATGTATTGATATTAAATGATGTGAGAAATGTACTATAACTGTTTAAATCACTTATTTCCCATTTCCCTAAGTACTTTTGATATTCTTCCAAGATCATCTTCAGGGGTGCAAGTACTACAAAACTGTTGTTCAGGAGTACAAAGCTGTGTGTCCATTACTGTCATTTTTCATTATGCTTTCAAATGCAACAGTTGGCAGTTGTGCTTAGCATTCATTAGAATGTGAAAAAAATTATCCATCATGGAATTTTTTTTTCTTCAATGTTATATCAAAGTCATGCATGCATTAAAGCGTGAAAAACTGTTCCTTTATAAATATTTCAGAACATTACTGTAGTATTCATAGTTGATTCTGTTCGGTGCTGGCTTTAATTTTTTAATATAAATTGCTTTATTTTTTTGTTAAAAATTAAAAGACATTATATCTGTAACTTATTTAATCATATATATATATAAATAACTCAATTCTTACTCTCAAAATGTTCGTTTCAATTTGATTTATTTTGATTTCCTTCCCACCCCCTTTAAATCAGATTATTCTTCCAGCAATTTGTAATAATTCAGCATTTTTGATAATCTCTTTAATTTGACAAGTAAATTTTGTTGTAAGGTTTAACTTTGTTTAATTTATTTTTTTCCCTAAATTGGACCAACAAAATCAAGATATCTAGAAATTTTTATTTAATGTTGAACAAAAGATTGCAATTTCTGCTTTCTCAAATACTTTCAAAAAGTTAAAATTTTTCACTATCATTAAATGTGCATCATTCAACCTTAAAATTTATTCAATTTCTTTTGAAATCTGATTTTCACATTAATCCAAATTTCTTTTTCACCAATTTAAGATGTGTCAACATTTTTGATATGCTAAGTTTTGCCTTTTTCAACAGATTTCAACTATTGTTCTCATCTTTTTCTTGCATGTATGCAAATATTTCAGCCACAGTAGGCATCTTCAGTTTATTTTAATTTCTGCAATGCCATTTTTTTAACTTGCTGAACCATAGTACATGGATTTTACTACTTGATCAATAAATGGCTAGTAGGGGAAAGCAAAACTTAATTAAACAGCAGGTACAAAAAATAGCAATAATCAGAATCTACAAGATATCCCCTCCCCTATCGGCCATAATAATGTACACCTAAAGATGGCCAAAATATTGTATCATCTATTATAGCATTTATAACAATCAAAAATGAGTCTAAATAAGTCAAACCATGCTCAGAAAAAAAAAGAAAGAAAAAAAAAAAAGAAAAAAAAAAAAAAAAAAAAAAAAAAAAAAAAAAAGAAAAAAGTTCAGCATTTATTGAAACTACAAATTTTCTGGTTAATTAAATAAAAAAAAAGCTATCACCCCACCTTTTTAACACCAAAAACAAGTTCCATTTTAAGGCAAAATATTTGTGATTGTTCATCTTATTTACCAGACACAATGAAGATTAAGCATTACTCAAGTTTCATTTGAGATTATTAAATAAAGAGAATGAACAGACATTTAAACAGAAGATAAAATCTACTTATACAAGTAAGGTGCTAAAGATTTAGCCTGACCAAGGTCTGGTGGGGTGGGGTTATGAAATTTGGTTAGATTTTGGGAAATAGGTTGGGCTGAGAACTTTTAAGGACCCTCTCTTCTATTTCCTATAGAAAAGGTTTATCAATATAAATAGAGCAACAAGTATTATACTCATAACTGGTAAACATTCTATTTGGAATAAGTAAATTAAATTTAGTATTCCTTGAAGGCACCCAACCACATATTATGCAACCGAGTATATGATCAAATTATTTTTTATAAATCTTTGCCTTATTAGTATCAAAATAAAAAGTAAAGTTAAAAGTTACTTTTTCATCCTTATTTTCAGTTTATATAATGATTCTATGGAAAGAATTCCAGTTTTAATTTTGCCCAAATACAAGACAAGTTTACTTAGCCTCAAAGGTTAGGAAATTTTTAATTTGTATTCAGTCTAAAATAAGAATACAAATTAAACAATATGACAATATTACATTTTGATAAAAAGAAATACATACTTGAGCATGATACAAACTCAAACTGCGTGCTTTATGCAATGGGATGAGAACCTTGATTAAAAATTGTTTGTGTTCTTGTTTCAGTGGGAGAGCAAAACCATTGATGATGCTGGAAAGAAAGAATGAAAATATCCTCAGATCAATGACTTTTTCTTAATCAAAAGCACACAGACAAAACATTCACAATTATGGGAAGTAAATTGTCAATTTTACAATAATTAAAAGTTAAAAATTGTACAAGTTTTAGTGTCTTGCGTGTTTCCTATAAAATTGTATTAAATTTGTTAAGTTTTCAGACAAAATGTTTAACAATTCACTTGGAGAATTAGATAAAAATTCCCAAAATCTAAAAAATAAACTTTAATATTTTTCTTTCTAGAAAAATGGTAAAATTTTAATAGAATACTTATATTGAAACCTAAATATGGCTGAAAATTGATGGTAAAGATACAGATAAATAAAATTCAGCTTTTATATAAATTATCAGGTTTTTTTTTTTTTTTTGCATAAACAAATATTATATCAAAGTAAACACTATTCAAATTAAGAGCAGTGATAGAATTTGCTTCAATTCAAGCATGCTTGCTGATGGTGGAAACCATCTTGAATATGAAATGAGGTCATGTGATCCTGAAAAACTGCTATTTAATATGTATAAGATAAACTGTGTTCAATTGTGAGTGGCTGGAAATTGTATCAAATAAAAGCTCATAAAAAAGCCTTCATTTTGTTATGTACTTGTTTCTTCCAGCAATGTAAAATTTTGTCTCAAATGAGTAAATATTGTACTGAAGATTTATTTGATTCATACCAACAGGAACTTTGATTTGATTCGATTCATACCAGAAGAAACTTAACATTGAGCTTGGCCATTATCTGAAATGGTAGATAATCATTACAAAACTGTAGCTTCTGTAATCATAATTCTAACCTGTTTTTACAAAACAGTTGAAATTACACTGTAATTTGAATAAACTAAAATAAGTTATGTTTAACTTTCAAAACAAAATATCTCAGATATTGTGCTGTTTCTTTTTATCTTAAAACCTTATAACAATTCAAGATTTGATCTTTTAAGAAAATTAAGAAACATTGGAATTAGCAAACATTTTTATTCCTTTTGACACTATATATATATATATATATATATATATACACACACACGTGCATGTGTGCGCACATACACTTTCTTTCTAAATCTTGCAACTTTCAGGAGTTTAGAGGCTAACAAAATACATAACTGGTTTCATTTATCTGAACCTCAAACTATTTAAAAGGTTAAAATTGCAATTTGATTCTTTTTCAAAATATACTTAAGTTAAAAACTAATCTTGTTGCCAAACAATTTATTTGCATTTTTAAATGTTTGCCCATTAGTAAAATAAAAAAAAAAAATATCATTTAATTTTTGAAAATTTGCCACAGTAAGATAATCAGATTAAAGTATTCAAGCAAAGCCTTTGGTATTTATTTATTTATTTTAATCCAAGGTGAACCAAGGTTGAGTGATGAAATCTGAAGAATAAGATTTAATACCTAAGGGAATGTAATGGGGGTAAGAGTATTAAAGTATGTTGAAAAATTGATTTAAAACAATCCCTTTTTCATTAAAAAGGAAAAGCAGAATTCAGAAAAGACAAAATAAAAAATGAACCCATGTAGAAAGAAACCACCATTTACCTTATCTTCTAGAAAGAAAAAGAAAAACAAAGTAGTAACAAATGAAGAATCTGTCTATTTGTGTGCATTTATGTGAAAATAGGTACTACTAGTATGCAGCAAGGGTGGTGGTGGGGTAGAAAAAAAAAAAAAAAAAAAAAAGGAAAAAGGTTGAATATCCTTTGAGAGATCTATTACTATGCATATTTGCCACTACTGCTTCTTTTAGTAGTCTGGAGTTTTTCATGTCCTGGCCCAGCCCAATAGCAAAGAAAGCATACGTGTTAATTTTACCTAGTTGCACCGGCATTAGTTAGTGTCTTATTTTTAGTAACTTACAGTTTAGTTAGCCTTCATATCAATGGCGCACACACACACACACACACACACACACAGATTATGGTAATTCTGGAAATTAAAGAGAATAATAAAAAAATAAAGATGCATATGACTTCTCTGGAGTTTTATTTCATTCATAAAATAAAATTACAAAATTGAAAATTGTATTTTCCAAAGAGTTGAATATTTCCTTTTTGTAATGGTGGACCTATGCTTATCCTTAAATAAATAAAAAAAATTAATAGTTAAAAAAACAAAAAAACAAACTTAAAGTCTAGATATTATTATTTTTATTTTTATAGCTATAACAGTTTTTGGTCAATTCTAAATACAAAATAATGAATTTTAATGCAATAATTAAATTATTCACAATAATTCAAAACAGTAAGAAAACTGCAATTGTAATTAAAATTTTTTAATATTCAACTTAAATTTTCTTTTCCTTTGAAGAACATTTCCAAGTAAAAGGAAATTCAAATATTTATTAAAAAAAAAAAAAAAAAAAAATGTTGAAATTTTAAGCTGTTTTAAAATAGAACTAAAAAGAAAGCCAACCAGATGACAAGAAAAAAAAGAATTTCTCAAAGCATGTAACAGTACTCATACATAAAATTGTGTGAGTTAACAGCTACAGTCAGGCCGGTTATATCAAAGGTCAGACCGTTATATTAGTAGACAAATTCTTTACTACTACTATTAATATCAGTAACTTGGTTGTCTTGGTGAAATACAGTAATGAGGAAGTGCTGGCCTGTCTCTCAAAATGGTTAAAAAGAATGTGCAAAACAGGGTTTGTGCAAACTTAGAGCACATGAAACTTGCTTTTAGATAAAATATAAAAAGGCGCATTGGCTGTGCCAATGTGTCTTAGAGGTAGTATCACTCTCTTTCAGATTAGTGTGTGTGTGTGTGTGTATCTACTCGTTTTTCCATAAGTGTCTATTCGTTTGCCTGCTGCTGCTAATCTTAATTCTTTCTCTATGCACCTGCTCCCTCTCCCCACCACATGCTCCTCTCTGCCCCAGTGACTAAGTCAGCTGCAGAAGTGTTTGGTGATCATCCTCCAGTCTTGCAGTACCAGTTAGGCAGGCTGGCCATGATATGTAAACAGAAGGAGGCTGCCTTCTCGCATTCACTAAGACAGACAACCAGTCAGTTGTAGATTTTGCTTAACAGCTGTGATAGACCAACAACAACTCCTCTTCAAGCTCCTCATCCACAAATAGTAGTTGTTGGAATAGCAGCAGTAGTTAGTGAGAGCAGCAGCTGTGATTGGGATGAAAGCAGTAGTAGTTGGAATAGCATTGGGTATGTGATAAGTAGGACAACTTGGACATTAAATCCTGAAGGAAGTCGAAAAGGGGAAGGAAGATCCTGGAAAACACTATTCAAGAATGACATGATCTCTCACACACACACACAATAAAAAATAAAATAAATATATAATATTAAGATTTTGGAAAAATGTGAAGAAAAAACTTAAAAGTCAGATTACAGACTAATTAAAAAAGAAAAAAAATTTTATTGAAAATAAGGCAAATGGTAAGTATTAAGGATATTGATATATTTTTGGAATTTGCTAATTAGTATATAGGCATTTACAAAAAAAGTTACTTCATAAGTGAAAATCATTGCAGAGGTACTAAGAATGAAACAAACAAAAAAAAAAAACAATAGAATGTTCAGAAGGTCTACAGAATAGAAAAATGTTTCTGTTTTCCTCTCAACTGTACTAACTCAAACTGAAATCATTATAAAGGAATATACAGCTACAATCTGGGGATATTAGATTAGAAATATGGAAAAGTTTCCCAGAATTTCAACTGGTGGGTTAAAAAATCTTAAATCTTTTGTCAAAGGGATTGCAACACTGAATCCTGCACTAATAGAAATTATATAGAAAATAACCCAGTTCTTCTTAGTCAAACAGAATTTTATTTGTTAAAGTATCAAGATTTTTACAATAGGAATAATACAGTAAATATGCCACTTGAAGAGTGGAATGGTACCTAAAATCTCTATATCCATTTCTAAGATCAAATTAGAAGCAACAAAATCAAGAAAGCCTCATCATGACTGTAGTTGCTTACTAGATTTTATATGTAATTAGATAACATTTTAAGAATTATGTACTTTTATTTATGTAGTAAAGAAAAAACAAAATTCTTAAACTTAATTTTGGGACATTGCCAACTGTAGACTTCTGAGACCTGACAACTTCAAACTTCTCAAATTATTTTTGTATAAGAGTGGGATGACTTGCTAGTTAGATACATTAAATATTCCCACACTTTTTTTTTTTTTTTTGAGAGGAGAGAGTAAAAATGTAAGTAAAAGATCAATAGTCTATCATCTTTTGAAGAAAATGGTGAAATGTTACAAAGAGCCAGAATGGAATAGAAAACTTCAAGTTCTGATTAAATATAAAGAAAACCATGCTTAAACAATTAATTGCATAATGGGTATTGACTGGAACAGAGTTCAATGTTGAAAGTTTCCAGTAAAACATGTTATTTTGTGTGCCTTTGAGAAGGTTATAAACATGAAAGGTCCTTCCTACATGAAGCTAGTGCATTAGAAGATTAACAAATTCTTTCAAACAAGTCTTTTCACTAGCAGTTCAGATAATTTAAGATATAGAATGTAATCCTGTACCAGTCTCAGAAGTTTTTATAATCTATAAGATGTTATTGCTGAATATGGATTAAAATATACAATTCTTAAAGTTTACTTTGACCTATTTTAAGTATTTAGAAAGAAAATTCACATTAAACTGTGCGTGAGAGAGAGAGAAAGAAACTGGAAAGTTTATAGCCTAACCAATGTTCCAAAATCTGGCTAAATATGAAATGTTTTTAGAAGGCTTCTTGTAAAACCGAAGAACTTTTTATCACATTTTTTGTGTGCGCGCACTCACACTCACACAAAATATGCTAAAAACACATGTGCATATTCTGAAAAGGTTTTTACTCAAAACAAAATAACCACATATGGGCAAATATAGATGATTATCAGAATGATTAGAAAACCCATGCAAGTCATTTTTCTTTAAGGTGGTAGTGGACAGATGTAGAATTGAGTGTTTATTTAAACTTTGCAAAGTACTGGAGT